ATCTTTCCACCCGGCTTCTTCAACCCGATGCAGCATTTGATTCTGCACCTCCCGTATGAGGCACGAATGGGGGGGCCCGTGCAGGCCCGTTGGTGCTATCCAATCGAGAGATGTCTAAAGGTTCTTCGGAAGAAATGCAGAAACAAATGCAAAATCGAGGCTTCCATGGCGGAGGCAGTCGTTTTAGAGGAGGTTACTAACTTCACACAAGCATACTATGGTGACAAGCTTCCTAGTGTGCATAATCGACCCCCTCGTTACAATGCTGGTGAAAATGAATCAAAACTCAGCCTTTTCCAAGGGCAACTTGGAAGTGCGAGTGATGCGACCTCATTGTTGTTGAAAAACGAAGAGTGGCTCACAATCATGATATATGTGTTGACCAATCTTACCGAAATGGAGCCGTACATGCAGTAAGTGGCTTCTTGCACGAACTTGTTAATTAAATATGCCGTCAACATTCTGCATCCAACCTCCTTGTTTCTCGTTGTTACAGGGAGTTTATTAATGAGAACTGGCATCTATCAAGGGAACCTACCCCGCAAGAACGTGACACCATTCTTCATCAGGGTGCAGGAAATGGAATTTCTGATTTTATTTCTTGGTTCAAACAAAAGGTACTATGCAATTTAGCTCGTTCGCCGATTGACATTCCCAGTTGCTTGTACATTCCAATTTAACGATCTATCCTCCTTGACCTTGCAGAGCCAAACTGATTTGACTATGAATCCAGAGTTGAGACAGGTTGCCAATGGCTTTGAACATAGGGTCAAGTCATTTTCTGGTTATGATGTGAATGGATACCGATTTCACACAACAAGACACGAGCAGAGCCGGCCCAATCGAAGAACCACGAATTCCGGAGTTTTTACTGGCGGCCTTGATGGGGCCGAGTATTATGGAAGAATCGAAGAAATATATGAACTTAGGTTTCGTGGTCGCAAACCTCTTAACCCTGTCGCATTCAAATGCCATTGGTTTGATCCTCAAGAAACGAGACAAAGTCCTTCCCTTGGGCTAGTAGAAATTCAACAGGATTCCGTCTATGGCGGAAAGGATGTCTATATTGTGGCTCAACAGGCCACACAAATTTATTATCTCCCCTACTCGTGCCAAAGGGACCCTAGTCTTCAGGGTTGGGATATTGTGCACAAGGTATCGCCGCACGGTAAAGCACCTTCCCCAAACGCCGAAGACTACAACTTCGACCCAAACACATATGATGGAGAGTTCTATCAAGAAGAGGGCCTACAAGGGACTTTTGAGATTGACTTAACTGGAGCTATGGAAATGGAAGTAGACAATGAAATGGATGTTGATGTGGACGAGGGGGATGAGGTGGAAAATGCGAAGGACTTGGCGTTACTTGAAGGATTACATATTGGCAATGTCAATGATGACATAGTTGCTCCTTTGGAAAGTGTTGAACATTTCGATATGGCTGATAGTGATGATGAGAGCTATGATCCAGCTAATCCCGATGGGGATGATTATTTCTAATACATGTAATATTATGTTATTTTGAAATTATGCTTTATTTATTTTGCATCTCTTTATAATAATGTCTTGTTTATGATCTATCTAATCCGATCTTATTATTTATGTCTTGTAGGTGATTGTGCAAAGATGGCAGGCCGCAGAGCTTTGCGGGCGGTCAGGTCGCTTTACGACACGGGGGGCAGTACACCAGGGCCCTCAGGTGAAGCTGGGGGGTCGGCACCACCTCAGGGGAGGAGGAGGAGGGCGGCCGGGAGGAGGCCTAGGGCGCCACCGCCTCAGCCTGCAGCAGCAACAGCACCAGAGCTCGAGGAGGAGCGGGAGGAAGAGCAGGTGGACGAGCAGGCTCAGCAGGGAGAGGCCGAGCTGCAGGCCGAGCAGGAGGCCGAGCAGCTGGACGAGTAGGAGGAGCGGGAGGACGAGCAGGAGGCCGAGGCAGGAGGTTCCAGTTCCACCGGAACCTCGGGTGTCTACCAACGAGGTCCGGCGAGCCTACCTGAGCGGCCGATACACGATGTTTCACGCCTGGTCATTCGACCCGTTGGGCAAAAGTACGTAACTTTTACATTTTTTTCGCTCCTACATATGATAGAATCACAATGGAAACTAACAGTTTTTTCTTAATCACTTACGCAGGTCTTGGAAGGTCGTGGTCCCAGGTGCTCACAAAAGGTTGCCCAATGGCATCCTGGGTCTTCTCTGCAGGGAACACTTCCCAGGCTTGGTTCGCTACGCCGAAGCTCTGGAGCCGGCCTACACGTACGAGCACTACGTCGCCGCCCCTGATGCGGAGGATGAGACGGGCTGCACGTACGAAAGCGTGGCGGAGCGGGTTATGTGCAAGTTTTGGGTAAGTCTTCCTCCCACTACTTTGCTCAATACATTGCATTCGCCAGAGTTTCTTGAACCAATGTATTGATACATCTTTTCTATATGCAGGACTTCTTCAAATGCGCCGAGGACTACGAGGCGAGGGCGGCCAAGGCGTTGGCCAAATCTTTTAGAGGTCGCATCTCAGACATGCATTACGAGGCGTGGCTCCAGGCCATCATCGACATCGTGCTGAATCTCACGAGCATCGGAAGGTAAAGAAAGAAGATGCAAGATTAATGTATCTCGACCAAAAAGAGGTAGACCAAGGTAAATATACAACATCAATATTGATTTCTTCTGAGATTGGGTAGGCTTGAATTGTTCTTATATCTGTCAATGTACTTGATGTCGTACAGGTGCCTCCTGGCTGGTGCGCCAATAAAACGCGGGCCTGGCAGATGATGGTCGACAGGTGGGTGAGTGGCAATTGGGCGGATAACCACACCGTCCTCCGGGAACGGCGTTTGCTGATGCCAGGTGTATCACACCACCAGGGCAACCTTAACATCCACGAATTCGGGGCTAGATGGGTACGTGACTTGGTGTAGCTTCATTTATTCTTTCAGACATTTATTCCTGCATGATTTATAATCGTCTTGTTTTTTTCGCGCATGGTCGCACATCAAAACCACCAGCCATGTGGAGAGCTCAAGTCATGGGTTCGGCCCACAAGGGCAAGGCGATGAACAACATCGACTGGAAACCGGATGACCCAGCCGAGTCGTTCACCAACGAGAGCATCCCCGAGCGCATCAGTCAGTACACCGAGGCGGCAAGGGGAGTCCATGGGGCAGACTAGGATCCGCACACCGTGGACATTGATGGCGACATCGTCATGAGGGTGGGAGGAGGCAAGAAGCATGGGCGGTACCTCATCGGCAACAAAGACGCTCGACCCGCACACCACTCCCACTCTCTCTCACAGTCCGGACAAGCAAAGACGAGCGGTAAGCGTGCCCATACGCCCCAAGCAGGACACTTCGACACATCATGTGGCGACACTATAGGTTATTTCTGTTTTATTAAATTGCGTTCATTGGTTTTACATTCCTCAAAATTGCTTGTAACAATGCGGTGAAAAATTATAGGCCCAGTGCATGCGCTCGAGGAGCATAAGGCTAGGGTGGAGGGAAGAGCGACGAGAGAGGAGCGGAGGCCGAGCGACAGAGGTGGGAGGCCGAGCGGGCGAGGTTTGACGCCTTGGCTCAAGACGTGGCAAGTCTTGGCGCCACGATGGGTCGCCCGATGCCACTAGAGTTGTTCACTCCTCCACCGCCTTACCCATACCGCCTTTACTCATACGTGAGTTCAACTTCTCTAACAAAAGCTCTTTATCTTTGTGCATGTCGGCCATCGTGCCGTTGATATGTGATGGGAGGCCTCCGTGCGTTGATATATATGTGTGCCGCCATCGTGCCGTTGATATGTGGTGGGCGGCCATCGTGCGTTGGTTTTTTTGCAGTTTTGGAAACCCCACCGTGTAGGGGAGGTCTTTGCCGAAATTTTGATGTGTCTAGGCTTAGATTACAATTTTATACCTAGTTCGCAAATTTTGACTTGTCTACGCTTAGATTACAATTATATGCCTTAGTATTACTATAATTACTAATTTTTCTTCTCCTTTGTGCGAGAATCAATCGGCGGGTTCGAATGATGTGCCTGAGCAGCCACCGTCGGGAGGGTCGTGGCACCAACCGTATCCACAACTTCCGCCAGATCAAGAACCGTTGGGAGGGTCGGGTACCAACCAGATCATCGGCATGATCATCTGCATTGCCGTCGGGTAAAGGTACCACAGATCGCAAGAAATTACCGTCGGTACCAACCAACAGCCAGCAGAAATACCGCCGTCGGGAGGGTCGGGGGTGGGAGCCCTGGGGGTGAGCCTGTTGTTCTTCATCATGTATTAGCACTTTGTGACATGAACTTGTGTGAGATGAACTTAGCACTTTGAGATGGACATGTGTTTAGATGGATGACATATTTGTGATATATGTGATGTGGATGACATATTTGTGATATATGTGATGTGGATGATGTGTTATATTTGTGAAATATGTGTTGTTGAAGCTGGAAATATAAACAAAAATAAAAAAAATGCTCTCTGGACTCTTTGCCGAGAGTAGGGCTCTCTGGGCTCTCGGCAAATCTTCCTCTTTGCCGAGAGCCAAGCTCTCGGCACATCTGCCTCTTTGCCGAGAGCTTGGTTCTCGGCTCTCCTCAAACCTATTTTTTTTTGAAAACCACCTCCGCAAATATTTGTTTTTTTTAACAATTCTTTGCCGACGGTCGCTCTCGGCAAAGAAGTTCTTTGCCGACGGTAGCTCTCGGCAAAGAAGTTCTTTGCCGACGGTCGCTCTCGGCAAAGAAGCTATCACACCGTTAGCGTTCGTTTGGCCGTTACTAGGGCAACCCAGTTTGCCGATAGCTATAGTTAGCCGAGAGCCTTGACATTACTCTCGGTAAATATTTTGCCGAGAGGGGCTCTCGGTAAAGAATCCTTTGCCGGTAGATGTTTTGCCGACGGCTCTTTGCCGAGAGCTGCTCTCGGCAAATATGTTGCCGAGCGTGAACTCGTCTTTGCCGAGAGCTTCGGGCTCTCGGCAAAGGCTGGGAGTCCGGTAGTGTACCCCCTGAACAAACAACTCGTAAGGCGGAGGTATGTTTCGACCTTCTCTGTCATCAGCGGCGACTACTATGCTCGTGTTGATTACAACAATCTGAACAAGGAATGCCCATGTCACGGTAGCCAGCGAGTGAAATTCTCCTTCGCATGTAGCAACAAGGCCATGAAAGTACTCGTTAACATTGCTGTAATTGTTGGACTTGCTGTCAGTGCTGGACACAACATAGGAGAGGATGGGCAAGAAGAGCGTGGCTCCGAGGAAGACGAAGCGGGTGTAGGGGTGATGATGGTAGCGCTGGCCGTAGGCGCCCATGGCGACTATGACCCCTGCTAGCACGACATCGGTTAATAGCATCGCGTTCACCCTCCACACCTGCCCCCTCATGCTCTTTCTGAAGGCCGCCAAGAATTCATCGGAGCAGTGAAAGTCTGAGTCTGCGGTAGAATTTCCTCCAGCCATGATCCACGGGATAGCTTATTTGCCAAATTTCACCATTAGAACAAGATATACATAGTTCAATATTTGGCACAAACGCACAAGGAATTGATTGATTTTGCTTCAAGGCTTCTACTAGCTTTATCTAAAGAACATGGAAAAGCAAGGAGTGTTGGCCCACAGGATCACCGACACGGGTGAGTCAATCACTCACCGGCGTTGCTGACCACGACTATCGTTGTCCGACCACACACTCTGGCTAGAGGTAGAAGAAAGAAGGGAGAACATAGCACACACATAGCACAAGCACTAGCATTGACCGGAGCTCTACAGAGGAGATGGCAAAACTGAACTCGCTCTCTTTACTGAATTGCAGTGGCAAACTATATGTACAACTCTACCCATCTAATCCTATTACAGCTGTCATGCTGCTACAGTGACTAGATGTGATAGTAGGACTGACTTTAATGTCTGCCACTGCTGTGGCTACAGTGCGGCAGGAGAGCCGTTTGGCGCCTGCCCCTGCTATGGCTACAGTACCACCGCAGGGAGCCTTTTCGGCGCCGCCTTCCCCTGCCGTGCATTCACACAAGGGAGCAGCAGATTACTTAACAATTCTTCCCCTAATCTTGTTGCTAACCCTAGAATCTCCTCCATGCTGATCATCTTCTTCAGCTCCATGAGCCAAAGACGGCCGAGCGGCTTGGTGAGGACGTCCGCGAGTTGCCGACTAGTTTTGACGAACTCGATGATGATATGCCCTCTATCGATACAGTCCCTGAGGAAGTGAAACTTCACGTCGATGTGCTTGCTCCGGTCATGGAGAACCGGATTTTTCACGAGGGTGATGGCGGACTGGTTGTCCACCATCAGTGCTGGTGGGTGAGCTTCCACACCGGTCAGCTCGCCCAGCAGCCGGCGTAGCCACACAACTTGGCACGCCGCTATGGCCGCCGCCGCATACTCTGCCTCGCCCGTAGACAGCGCCACCATCTTCTGTTTCAATGACAGCCATGAAATTAGAGCCAATCCGAGTAAAACGAGCACGCCAGAAGTGCTCCACTATCCGTCGATGTCCCACATGTCTGCATTACTGAACACAGTGAGCTACAGCCTACTTCCGCTGGTCTTGGAGAAGACGATCCCTCGATCCACCGTCCCCTTGACGTAGCGCAGCAGCCGCTTCACCGTAGCCCAGTGATCCTCTCTGGGATCCTCCATGAAGCGGCTGACGTAGCCCATGGCGAACGCAATGTCCGGCCTCGTGTGGACTAGGTAGCGTAGACCGCCGATGATGCTCCGGTAGAGTATTTCATCTACCTTCACCGCGGTACTAGCGTTCGTCAGCTTCAGCCGCTCCTCCATCGGAGTTACGCACAGCTTGCACTCCACCATGCCGCTCCGCTCCAACAGCTTCGAGGTGTACGCGCTCTGACCGAGCATGAGCGCCTTCTTCCCCTGTCTCACCTCGATGCCGAGGTAGTAGGAGAGCATGCCGAGATCGCTCATTCGAAAACAAGCCGCCATCTCACATTTGAAGCTATCGATGTCCTCCGCACGTGTGCCGGTGACGATCAAGTCATCCACATACACGCCGACAACGAGCTCCTCCTTCCCCCGTCGCCGCGTGTAGAGCGCGTGGTCGGTTGCGCACCTTGTGAACCCAAGCTCGTCTAACATGGCGTCAAGCTTGGCGTTCCACGCTCGCAGGGCCTACCACAGCCCGTAGAGTGCCTTGCGTAGTCGGAGCACCCTGTGCTCCGCTCCCTTGATGGTAAAACCCAGAGGTTGTCTGACGAAGGCTGATTTTATGTCTAGGTGATGGACGTGCTAGTCCTTCACTGCTGCCAAAGCCAGAAGCAGTTGGACAAACTCTGTGTGCTCTAGCAACGCAAAGACTTCCTCGAAGTCGATGCCCTCGCGCTGGACAAAGCCTTGGGCGACGAGGCGCACCTTGTGCTTGACAATGGTGTCGTGCTCATCCCGCTTGACCTTGTACACCCACTTCAGGTCGATCGGACGGCATCCTGGAGGTGGATCGATGAGCTCCCAAGTCTCGTTTTCCTTGATTGCCTTCATCTCCTCCAGCATCACCCGTCGCCAGTTTGCTTCGCGCTCGGACAGCGCGAACGTGGGTGGTTCCTCTACACTGACGAGAAGTAGCTCTGTTTCATTGAGCAGTCGTCCCGCCAGGCCTGAGGGCCCTGTGCCGCTGATGATGTCGTCTAGCCTGTGGAACCGCACCTCGTCACCTTCATGGAAGGCATCCACGAACTTAGTGATGTCGCTTGGAGGTGAGGTGAACTCAATTGGAGTCGATGGAGTTTCCTGTTCCACTAGAGTGCTCGGCACCCCGGCTGTAGTGCTCGGCACTACTCCTGGACAGCTCGTCACCACTCCTGGAGTGCTCGGCACCACTATAGGAGTGCTCAGCCTCAGTCTTGGAGTGGTCGACACCACTGCAAGACCTCTCAGCTTCGCTACGGGAGTGCTCGGCACCCATCCTGGAGTGTTGGGCACCACTGTAGGACCGCTTGGCACCACTCCTAGAGTGCTCGGCACCCCTTTCGGAGTGCTCGGCACCGCCCCAGAAGTGCTCGGCTCTGTTGCTGGAGTGGTCTACACCTCCTCTCTAGCGTCTCCACCACCGTGGATGACCAAGTGCTTGACGACGAAGGTGCTGGTGAAGCCACCAGCTTCCCCCATGCTCGGACTGTTCTAGTCTCAGGCCACCTTCTCATCGAACACGACGTCGCGTGAGACAACCACCTTGCCTCTGTATGGGTCATAGAGCCGGTACGCCTTGGTACCTTCTGCATAGCCTAGGAGCACCATCAGTGTGCTCCTGTCCTCCAGTTTGGTGAGGGCCAGCTTCGTCTTCCTAACGTGGCCGATGCAGCCGAATGTCTAGAGGAAGGACACGTTTGGCTTGCGCCCATACCAAGCTTTGAACGGCGTCTTGCCCTTCAGGACCTTGGTGGGCGCACGGTTGAGGATGAACACTACCGTGGTCACTGCCTCACCCTAGAACCTTGTCGGCATGCTCTTGGCCTTCATCATGGATCGAGCCATGCCGACCACCGTCTAGTTCCGTCGCTCCACCACGCCATTCTGTTGTGGTGAGTATGACGTGGTGTGGTGTCGCACCACACCCTGATCCACGTAGTACGCAACGAACTCCACCGAAGTGAATTCGCCACCGTGATCAGTCCTCAGCACGCGCAGCTTCTTGCCGCTCTCCGCCTCTTCACGCGCCTTGAACTTCTTGATCGCCTCCATCGTCTCGTCCTTGCCCATCAGGAGTTGCAGCCACATGTAGCGACTGTAATCATCCACGAGCAGGAGGAAGTACCATCGACCACCGTTTGTGGTTGGCATGATTGGCCCACAGAGATCGCCGTGGACGAGCTCGAGAGCGTCCACCATGCGATACTTGGCCGCCTCTGGGAACGGTAGCCTCCTCTGCTTTCCGGCTAGGCAGCTGTCACATAGCTTGCCTCCTTGCTTGATGTGGGGCAGCCCTCGGACCATCTTCTTTAGCCAACCAAGAGCATCGAAGCTGAGATGGCCGAATCAGGCATGCCACAGCCAAGGCTCCTTGGTGTGCCGTGTCACCAGGCACACTGGCTGCTCTACCTTCAAGTCGAGCAAGTACAACCGGTTCTAGGACCTCTTCACCTTAGTAAGAAGTCGCTGCTCTCGGTCCCTGATCCTGAGCACTCCATCCTTGATCAGTACCTCACTACCGCGCTCATCCAGTTGGCCAATGCTAATGATGCTTGAACGTAGCTACGGGATATAATATACATCCATTAGCGCGCGGTGCTCGCCATTCTGATACCTGAAGATGATGGTGACGTGCCCTCGGATTGCCACCCATGAGCCATCACCAAACTTCACCGTGCCGGTCACGTCATCGTCGAGCTCGGAGAAGGCTGCCTTGGAGCTCGTCATGTGGTTACTAGCGCCAGAGTCTAGGTACCACTGCTGCTCCTGCTCGCCGCCCACACGTCCAAGGTGGACTTGTGCGCATGGTTCATTGAGGTAGACTACTTTCAGAGCCTTCCCAGGTCCTTTCACCGCCATCACCTCTCCCTTCTCCTCAGCCTCAACGTTGTGTAGTGCACAGAACGTTGCCATCAGGATAGTGGCCTCATCCTCATCATCAGCGTGCGCCAGATGAGCTTCAGCCTTCCTCTCCTGCTTACGATTTGGGCACTCTCTTGCCCAATGGCCCATCTTCCCGCAGTGCCGATAGGCATTGGGTCGACTTTCTTCTTCTTCTTCGAAGAAGCCTTACCGCGACGCTTGCCATTGCCACTGCGGCTGGAGGAGTTTACCCTAGAGTTCCTCTAGGCAGCCCACTCCTCCTCTATTAGCAGTAGCTTACCGCTGTCCTTCGTTGCTGTGGCTTGCTCCATGTGGTCGTCCACCGCTCATAGACGGCCTGTCACATCCTCAATTGTGAGGGTGGACAGGTCTAGCATCGTCTCTATAGAGAGAGTGATCTGGATGTACTTCACCGGCACGGAGTGGAGGTACTTGGAGACCACCTCTTCTTCATCGATGGTGACGTCGTGACTCTTCAGCTTGCTGATGAACGTCTATAGGCGGAGGGAGAAGTCCTCCACCGATTCACCATCCTTGAACTTGAGGTTGATGTACTCCTACTTCAAAAGCTAGGCTGTCGCCTTCTTTGCGCGATCGGAGCCAACGCGCTTCACCACAATGGCCTCCCACGCCTCCTTAGAAGAGCTTTTCACCCCCAACGGCTCCCTGTACTCCACTGGCACAGCAGTGAGAATAGCCTCCAACGCTGACATATCGTCTTCTTCATTGTCGGTGCCCTTGTCAACAGCATTCCAGAGCCATCGGGCTCTGAGCTTGACCTTCATGGTCACCGACCACTCGCCATAGTTGGTGCAAGTCAGCGTCGACCAACTAGTGCCGCTAACCTCCCGTACCATGCGAACAATGACCTCCTGTCATGGCTGGGCAGCCACAGCAGCATCGCTGTTGTCGTC